TTATATGGTACAAGTTCCTCTTTTCTGTCTGGCTTCCTGTATTTATTAATATACTTGTATATTTCTACACTAACGTCCTGTTTTTCAGTCTGGCTGAGCACAGTTCATGAGTCAAAAGTGGCCTTGCTTTACAAACCTTCATTATTAAGTACATCAAACAATATAATAAAGAAAATAAGCACGAAGGATATATTAATTACATGACACTACCAGTCCTCTTTAGTGTTGCTTACAGGTGTAAAACTATAAGGCTCGGGGCCCAGATTCGTTTGACAGCTGTTTGACTCTGTCTCTCAGAGACCATCCTCAGGTGAAACTAACAGGGCTCCCAGTTAGGCGAGCTCCCAGCTCGTATGTGTGTCCAGGGACCAGCTCAGTAGTCCGCACACACACTGAACCTCGTATTGGTTTCCAGATAATCGCAGTCCAGCCCCATATCATCACACACTGTTCTCGTTACGTGCTCTCAGGAGAACACGGTGAATATGTGGCCCTTTAAAGTTTGTGTTTGGTTATTTCTTTGTTGTAACAGTGCTTCTTGCATATCAGTGAAAAGCATGATTGTTTCCTCGTAAATGGTGAAACATTTGTAAGGTATATTTGTGCATTTGTGGGTTGTGCCCATGAAAAACTAATACCAAACAGCTTATTCTGCTATCGCACAAACACACATTTGCTTACTGTTTGTGCTGAGTTTATATAAATCTGGGTAACATAGTCTGTTCATTTAATTTAATTACATTTTATGCTTGTGGTTAATGCTGCATCTATTAACCACAGGCCATTAAAAATTAAGAAAACACCCCCAGAATCTTTTTCTACTTAGGAGCTTGAGGAAACTTCAGTATTCCCCAGTAAGGGTAAAAAAACAATCCCACCAACACTTTATTTTGTTGTTGTTGTTGTTGTTGTTGTTGTTTTATGCCATGAAACATATAAATAGAACTTTTTAGCTCTTCTGTTTCTTCCGTGCTGATAAGAATGTGTCCATACCTGCCTGGAGGTCGCCCCTGTTGGAACAATACTCTAAACACAGTATTTTCAGTTCCCATTTACAAGGCACATCAAAGCCCTGTTGGAGCACCAGGGGCTTTTCTGTTAAAGCTAAATATATTCAGCTTCATAAAGTTCCACTGTGAAATAGTGAAGTGCTTTCTATAAACATGTATTTATGTTTGCTCTGCTGAATGCAGGATTTTGTTGACCAAAAATGATTCGGGCAAATAGTTTCAATAACAGTTTATTTGACATCAGTAGTGCAGAAGAAGTGCAGAAGAACGAGGTGGTATTTGTCTACATTTACCTATTTAACCAGGACGTCTCCAGAGGTTAAAATCTGGTTTTCAGGGGAGGCTTGACCAACAATGAACACCATCATAAGGTTACAAAATTATACACTCGGCCATATAACTCTCAGATAATCAGTAAATCCTACTTTAATCTTCAGTTTCTGATTTATTTATTTTTTAGACAGCTGTTCAGTAGGTATACCAGATGTTCCTTTACACATATAGTACTTAACAGTTCTGACCTTTCAGTAAATCCTCATCATTAGCTTTGCTATTATGCCACTGTATGTGTTTTAATTGTGTGCGTCCTTTTCAGGTGTTTATATTTGACGTGGGTGGGAAGACATGGAAATCCTACAACTGGAGCATGGTAACAACAGTGGCAGCGTTTGGAAAATATGACGCTGAGCTCATGTGTTACGCTCACTCCAAAGGCGCACGGGTCGTCCTCAAAGGTAAGATAACTTTCTTTATTGTGCTAAGAGCTGACTGGAGTTTACCTACATGTAACTAAATATCTCTCAGTACTTGCACTGATGTTGTGATAATTCCATATTTCATTTTTCCATTTACGTCTATTTACGTCCTGTGACAGTTCACAGCAGCACCCCTCACTACTTTTTATTTTAATAGGAAATTTATTGAAACATATGCAAACATACATGGAATCACAATACACAAAGAACAAATAGATTTTTAAAATTCTAACAAGCTTGAAAGTCAATATTTGGTATTACCGCCTTTATTTCTCAGCAAAAAAACCTGAACTTTCTTAAACACGATTTCTTTCTGTCAACACTCACTGCTCTACACCTCTCCTGACCTCCTCCTCTACATACTGGTGATGGTTTGAAGCAAAATACAAATTTCAAATTTGGATTCATAGTTGTAGATAAAGAAATTAGAACAATTTGTGCGTCTTTGTCACAGATTGGCAACAAAGTGCCTAAAGATAATATTTAAAATGTGTTGTTTTTTTTCTGACAGATTGTTATGTGTAGACACAACCCCGGTTCATCCCTTGAATTAGCTGCATTTTATGCCCGAGTGATTCATAGGTCTGAAAACGATCAGATACAAGGACTGATGAGTGAACAATCGTCCAAATGTCCAAAGAAAGACTGTTGCTCAAGACAACTTAAATAAATTGCAAGAAAGTCTGGATATAAAGAAACCAGGCGTGGCTCAATACTTTTGCACGGTACTGTATGTGGTGCTTCTTCTCATTGAGTTTTTGTACATTTGTCTATCTTTTTGTGTTATTGGGTAAAGGCGACGTCCCCCTCTCCTACATTGTGGACCAGGACAACAGAACTGCGTGGATAACAGACAAGGTCGTGTTGGCCAAGAGTCAGTTTATGGACGGGATTAACATAGACATTGAACAAGCTGTGGAAGAGGGCTCACCGGAGTACTATGCCTTAACATCTCTGGTCAAAGAGACCACTGAGATGTTTCACAGGGAGATCCCAGGATCTCAGGTAACGCGGAATGACTGGGCACTCGGAGACAACGGTCATTTTCCAAGGCCAGTCTCTCAGTTTGAAATCCATACTAAACCCAGCTTCACCAGTCTTCACAGGACGTGCTTATTTTTCTATATCGTTACAAGCACATCATCCACTATAATTCTTTTATCTGAGCTGAGCACTAAATCAGATAAAAAGTCTTTTGGCAAGACTGGGTAAATGAATAAAGGCCTATGAGCACTTTCTGAGTGATTTTAAAATCATCATCCTGTTGATGTTTACCTTTTCCTGACTCCTCAGGTCTCATTTGATGTCGCTTGGTCACCAAAATGCATTGATAAGCGCTGCTATGATTACGTAACCATTGCCGAATCCTGCGACTTGCTGTTTGTGATGTCCTACGACGAGCAGAGCCAGATCACCGGCGACTGCGTTGCAATGGCAAACGCTCCTCTCCGTCAGACACTCGAAGGTTTGTGGTTTTATAGTAGAACAGGAGAAAGGCATGTTGTTGTAAATCTACTTGAGACAATGACATGAAATACTCGGTGTCGTTCTTTGTAGCTTATGACCAGTATTTGAATCTGAAGATCAGTCCAAAGAAGATAGTGATGGGAGTGCCATGGTACGGCTATGACTATCCATGCCTCAACTTTTCCCAGGTAAGAGATCGTTCATTAAAAAAATAAAAGTGAGGATTCGTTTGTTGTTGAAGGTTTTTGAAGACCAGCGAAAAAAGGTGTCTCCTCGAATGGGGACACGAGGTTGTTCATTCAGCTGAACAAAGGCGGGATAGTGACCTTTTTATAGGTTATTAGCCGATAGCATTACTAACCTTGCCCAGTGTGGGCCATATGTGATATAATACGAGGCCTGTTATTATAACACACCGTCATTTCTTTTCTCACACCAGGAGGGCGTGTGCTCTATAGAGAAAGTGCCTTTCCGTGGAGTTCCTTGCAGCGATGCTGCTGGAAAACAGAAAGCGTACAAGTGGCTCATGAAGCAGGTCAACAGCTCGATGTCAGGCAGGCTCTGGGACGACGAGCAGCAGGCTCCCTACTTCAATTACAAGGTGCTCCATTTTCTTTCATATTTTAAGGATAAATCCTTTTTCTTCTTGAAGTATACAAACGCATGGATAAGGTGTTCAATTAATTATAAAATTAAATGTGCATTTAAATATTTGGGTTTTAGTTCTTTTGCTTCCAGGCGAAATGTTTTAGGTCTCGGACCAAAAAGGCAATATGTGCAAGAAAGGATCTGTGCACTGTTTAGCTCCAGTTAATATTTAAAACAAATATTAATATGCAAACCAAGATTTCGACTGATATGATCATCTCTTCAGGCTTGTGTTCTTTGTGTAAGTTTGACTAGCTTCATGCCTGTGTGGCGCTTGTATTTCAGGGAAGAGCCGTTTATCTGGATGCACTGTTAAAGTACAGCAGCGTCACTTCCCAATCAGAAGGAATTAGCCTTCTGAAACCACTAGAAACATTTCTGCTATTTGCCCTCAGGGTGGATGGACAAATCTTTTCAGACCACAAGATGGCGCTATTATCAAATTTATGTTGTTGCTTCTTTCCTCAGGACCAGGACGGACAAATCCATCAAGTTTGGTACGATGACCCACAGAGTATTTGCCCAAAGGCGGATTCGGTGATGTCTAAGGGCCTGAGGGGTATTGGCATGTGGAACGCCAACATCTTGGACTACAGTGATGATCCGGTCGCCAGGCAACAGACAACAATGATGTGGAACGCTCTTTTAGGATGCTAGCTGTGCACGTGACAAACCATCCCAGAGCCCGCCTCTGTTTGTTGCTAAGTCAACACCTCCCTTTGTAGCAGTAAAGGGGGTATTCGAGGCATACTTGCACTTGAGAGTTAATTGTTTCTTTTATTGCTGCTGCCTTTGACTGGGTTACATTCCTCTTTGCTAAGCAAAATAACTGTGATTCTCTAAAAAGGAAAAGCCAGTCTTTAAACGTCCCTACACTGAGCTTACTGAGATTTATGCACTTTTTTAAATAAATAAAACTTGTTTCTAATAAATCTTTGAATGAAATTACAGAGTAAGCAGTGGAATTTTGTTATCTCAGCACATCAGAGTTTACATCATCTGAGAAACCCAAACTTAAATTACATTATAAAACAATGCAAACTATTTTGGTCCAATCAAATAACATAACTAATTAGAAAGACGCATTCAAGTCCAAAATAATTAAACCAGAAAACGGGTTTTTCACGTGCAGTTTATTCTGAACTGGGCAGCGCTGCTCTGGACTTGTGCTCCGTGCCGTGGAGTATTTCCCATCAGGCCGGGATGAGATGACTGACTCTTCTTCTGAGCCAGCTCAGCCTTCAGGGCTCTGAGCTCAGTGGCCGCCTGTTTTCTCAACTAGAAAAACATTCATAGGAAACACAAGAAAATGAGCTCTGCTGTGCTCCGTGATTAGATGATTTTATTGATGATATGTCTCTTGACCAACCAGCTCAGGTATTTTAACAGTTTTCATACATCACTTACCTTTATCTCCGTCACCAGCTTCATCTTGCCATCTTCTACCTTCCTCTTCAGGTTGTCAATCTCGTGGCTCTCAGTCATGATCTGAATGATGAGCTCATTCTGTAAGGGATAGTCCGTCATTAAGTTTATGGGTGGAAAACTGTTTATGGGTGAGTGGCCATTTGAATTAGATACACCTGTTCAACTACCCGTTAACACAAATATCTAAATCAGCCAATCATATGGCAGAAACGGTGCGTTTAGGCATGTAAGCAAGGTCGAGATGAGCTGCTGAAATTCAAACTGAGCGTCAGAATAGGGAAAAAAGATGATTTATCATTTACTACCTGACTGCTGGTAGAAAGACAACAAATGATTTCAACTATTATATGCTTGGTTGAAGGCTACAGCAGCAAGAACGCCACACCGGCTGCCGCTCCTGAGGGAAGCTGAGGCTACACCAAAATGGAACCATTAGACGATTGGAAAGGTTTTGCCTGGTCTGATTCAACTCTATTTCTGCTGCAACGCTCGGATGGTAGGGTCAGAAACTGGCCCCTGTTAGTACCATTTCATCATTTTTTAAACACCACGGCCTAGCCGAGTGTTGTTTTTGGGATGCGATAGAACAGGAAATTCAAATCCTGGATGTGCAGCCAATAAATCTGCAGAACTGTGTGAATATGAACCAAAATCTCTGAGGAACGTTTCCTGCATCTCGTTGAATCTGTGCATAAAGAATTAAAGCAGTTCTGAAAGCAAAAGAGGGTCCAGCCCAGAACTAGCAAGGTGTAAGTAGCGACTGGTTCATTGTACAGACCTGAAACTGAGCCACTGAGACTTTAATATTAATACTGAAGATGCATTTAAAAGAACGAAGGGAATCGTGTGGTTAGATTGTACCTTCATGGAGGATCTTCCTTGGTGACGTCTGGGCTTGGCTCTGTTATCTCGGGCCTGCAGCTGATGCAGGACTTTGTTGTAAAACGTCTCCAGTTCTTGTCTCAAGTTTCTCAAGTTCTCGTCCAATGGCGCTGTGGCCTTCTTGGCTTCAAAATATTTCTTTTTCCAGCTGTCACGTGCTTTATGTTAAAAGGACGGAGACAAATTGGTTAACAACTTCAACAAAAAAAAAGTTTCACTAAATTGTTAGCGCTTTAACTCAGATTGGGGAATAATTAAAAACCTCTGGTGACTGGTGCTGACCTTGGTTCCTGCGGTGTCTGTTCTGGGCTAACAAGTCTTTCCCCTTTCGCAGCAGCTCTTGTCGCATCCTCTCCAGCTGCTTTCTCTCCTCCCGTACCAGCTTGATTTCACTGATTAGTTCTTCCCCTTTTAAATAAAAAGCCCGTCAGTTGTACTAATAACAATCAGCATAAAGCCTGCAGATACGTCCGGCTTACTGTTTGTGTGAAGGACTGGAGAAGCAGCCGTTTCATGGGTGACTGTGGCCAAGTCTAAACCTGAAGGTGGTGATACGGCAGGCTGAGACAACGGAGCTAGGCTTTCTGACAGCTTCACAGAAAAACAGAAGATTATCCTGCAAAGTGTTTTTCTTTTGTGGATCCATGTTTTACAAAGAGCACTGAAAAGGAGACGATCATGTAACCAAGATATACTTTGTGTTTTTTCTAAATGTCGCACGTTACCCTGGCTGTTCGATTGTTTCTGATGGACTTCAGCGCGTGTTCCACTTTTGATTTCCCAACCCTGAAAAACACACACAAGTAGTTTCAGTCGTGTCCATGGAGTAAGAAGTTTTTAGGTCTGTATGCTGGCTGCTCGGTACCCGTCTGTTAGGGAGAAGCCTGAATCTCTGTCCTCCAGGGACTCCGCCACTCCTGAATGTCTGGCTGCTCTGTTTCCTCTTTGGTTATGTTTCTTCTTTCTGCAGATTTCTTCTTTCTCTGGCAATTCCTTCACCTGAGCTGAATCAGCCACACACTGCTGGAAATCTGTAAGCAGAAAAACTGCATCTGTCTTTTCTAAGAGTTTCAGCAAATGGACATTTTATTGCATCAAATACAAGACGACGACTTCTTCTTTTGGCTGCTCCTTCTAGGTGTCACCACAGCGACTCATATTTCACCCTAGCATCCTCTTCTGTTACACAAACCCTCTGCACGTCCTCCTTCACTACATCCATGAACTTTCTCCGAGGTCTTCCTCTTTTCCTCCTTTCTAGTTGCTCCATATTGCACATTCTTTGTCCCATATATCAACTCTCCCTCCTCTGCGCATATCCAAACCATTTTAGCTTTGCCTCTTTAACGTTGTCTCCAAACTGCTCAATCTGGGATGTCCCACTAATGTATTCATTTCTAATCTTGTCCATCTTTCACTCTTGCTTTCATTGTTCTGTCACAAATGGCGCTTGTCTCCACCCACTCCACCCTGTTTGTACTCTCTTCTTCACCTCTCTTGTGCACCGTCTATTATTTTGGATGGTTGAGCTCAGGTATTTAAACTCCTCCACCTTTACTATCTCTACTCGTAACTTCACTCTTACACCTTTCTCCCTCTCATTCACATGTTTTCTGTCTTGCTTCAACTGACTTTCATGCCTCATTTCTCCAGAGCATACCTCCACCTCTGCAGCCTTGCAGTTGGGGTGTGTGCAAAGCAAGCTGGGGTGCCCTTTGCTTTTGCCCTCGAAAACACTCCTGCTCTGCTCTCCTGATGGAGGAGAGAGTTTCACCTTCCTTCTCCCCGCCTCCTTCTGAAGAGCTGTAGCTCCTATCATCCCCTTCTTCCTCCTCTTCTTCTAGCCGGTGTGTGGGAGGTGGCTGATGGGAATACTGGGGGATATGGGGGAATTTGATGGGCTCCTTTGTTCCTGTTGCCCGGCTGCACGTTTTGGGAGGGTGGTAATAGATCTGGTGGTCTGGGGAGGTGCTGGTGGTGTCAGGGGTGAGAGACCGGGAGCAAACGCTGCTGTCATTCTCCACAGCGGGCAGCAAGTAAAGCTCCGGCTGCGTGGCCTGCTGACAGGTGACAACAACGTGTTACTGGAACCAACCCACTACATAAAGAGAAGCATCATCCGATTAAATGTTTAGATTTAAGTATCCAACGCTGACTCTACGCACATAGGGTGGGGCGAACACTTTCACTTTCAGGTCTTGCTCCTGTTTGCTTTTGACCTGCAGCAGACAAGAATTTGGAAGCTGTAAAAGGCACGGCAGTAAAAAGTGTGTTCCCCACCCGCCCGCACACACGTTTTACACCCTTTACTCTGAGCAGTAAACTGTCTGTGCAGTTTCTCTCTATTGTGTGCCTGGTGAAATACAATCAGCTCTACAAAAGAGCACTAAACAGCCAGCTGCACTCACCAGCGCCAGACTGCGCCCCACACATTTAAGGAAGGAGAATTTGTTGACGCTCCTCTGTGCACCAAGGAGAGCGCCCAGCTCACTCCTAAGAGTTTTCAGGGTAACATCAGGATAAACCCTAAGGTCACAGAAAAGGAGAGGTGGTGTCCACGTTAAAAAAAGAATGATAGTCAGGATTGTTCAAGAAAAAAGCTACATGTCACCTATCGAGTGCTCAAATAAATTTGACTTATCAAGTTTAAAAAGCAAAATGACACGTTCAGCAACTGTAATACTGTAATTTTTCAACTGAGACTTGGAAAGATTGTATCATTGCAACACTTTTAAAGCACTGAACAATGTTAAAGCAGTCTGACACTGTTATCAGACAATTACGTTACTGAATTTCCTAAGAACAAAGCCTAAGTAATACAACATATCTCAGTATCTTTTATGTGTCTGCACAGTGGAGTGCAGTCCAGAAGTGTTAAACAATCCTTATCTTGAGTTTTCTATATTAAAACAAACATTTGCGGCAGTTTCACCTGATGAAGCCGGCTGATATGAAGCTCTCTGTGGCTTCAGCAGGGACTTTATTGAGCTTCACATTCCACTGGTCAGCTGGCACAAACAGCACATGGAGCTCCAGAAGCTGCACACGAATGCAAACATGATAACACGGTCCGTTTGCATCATCAGGCATGTGTCTGCTTGCTTGACAAAAATAATTTTGTCATTTTATTTCATCCTTAAAAAGAAAAAAAGAAAGAAAAGAAAATACCTTGCAGCTGTGAGGT